AGCAAGTAACCAAACACTTCCAAAGGTAATGACGTCTGTGTGTGATTACTTGTTTGGCTGCACTGGCTGAAGCCGTAGCTGCTCACTCAGCAGACTGTAAGTAGACACTATTGTCTTTTCTGTGAGTTCTGGCTGCAATTCAGGATGTTAATAATATCTAGAGAGCTATAGGAGGCTTGGATCCCATCTATCAGGAACCACCTCTCATACAGTTACAGGAGCAAGACTGGGGTGATGATCTTGCTGACAGTTCCCTAGTTTAGAAATGAGTAGCAGGAATTTGTTGGGGAGATCTGTACCAAGTCCATTATTTATTAAGTTATCACTTAGGATCCAGAATGGGTGTATTTATTTGTAGGGAAGTCTGTAAAAATCTTGATGGCTGTTCTAACATATGTTTATGCATCAGAGTCAATGCTAGGGGGATGCTTTCTTTTTAAATTAGGAACAAAATATCCCCTAAAAGCAAAATATCTGGACTTGTTGTTATATTCTTTCCCCAACACTTACAGCAGCGCTGGGAGAACACCCCAGCCAAGCTGACAGGCAGCCAAATATAATTTATGGCTTGTTTTAAACTGATTTGTTGACTTCATGAAAGGCCCTGTCAAAAAGAACAGTCCCCTGAGTCCTAACAATGATAACAGTTATATTGCATCAGCGCTGAAAAACTCTTGGATAACAGTGAACCTACCCTGAGAAATCTTTTTAAAGTGCCTGAACATTGGATTTTCTGAAAAGAAATGAAGCTCAAGCTATTGTTTCATAGTTCATTTCAGTTTTCTTCATTCTTTGTTCATCTTATTTCCCACTGATTGGAATACTCTCTTGGTAGCATGAAAATAGTTTCCCTTATTCCAGTTAATTAAAAATAAAGATGTGTGTTGTTTAAAGGAGATGCTGCTAACAAGGACATGTTTAATTTCTCTTACGTGCAGTGTTGAATTTGCCAGTGATATCAACATGTTTGTGTCTGCACCAGTGTGAGCCAGAGCGGGACACTCCTGAGCCTCCTATCAGCTGCATTTCTCCTCTCTGCGTCTCACTGAAGCAAAGGGCAACCCCCACGTGCTGTTTGTGCCTGTGCTGTGCAGACTCCCTCAGCCAAGGGCAGGATACACGTCCCCTGCTGTATCTGACCCGCATCTTGGGGAGCTTCCAGCCACCAGACTCTGGCTTCTCTGCCACTTCTCTGCCACTCTCCTCGTCCTTGCCCCGTGACCATGCTGCTGGGGCAGCCTTGCCTCTCTGCCTGGCTGCAGTGAACACAGCTGCAAAAGACCATCTGCTTCCTAAGGCCTTTCCTCTTCATATTTTTGAACAGTCTTATCTCCACTAAGTTCAGTTGTGTTGTTTCATTGGTCAGAGTTCTTCCTGATGGAAATACAGTGCTTCAGTCAGAATATTGGCTTTTAAATCTTGGTAAATTTGACGTGTTTTCTCTTGTCTCCGCCCTATCTTTACCTGAACCTGCACCCCAGATTTACTGCCCTGCAGCTCTGCAATTTTTCATTATCCTGACTACTTTTCTGTAGGTCTTACTTGGTGTTGCTGAATATTAGGAGAACGAAATCCTAGCTTACAGATACAACAATATCACAGGAAGAATTATAAATATGTTCTTGTCCAAGCACATAACAATGAGTGAGCCTGACTGTGACAGTTTGGATCTCTGGTTTCCTCCCACCACCGTGGGAAAAGGAAGCTGTTTCTGTGCTTAGACAGCAGCGATTGCTTTCTACATCTGTGTGGGGGTCAGCCCCTCCTGGCCCTGCCAGCTCTGGGGACACCGGGGTGCCGCAGTTCCTGCCCTGCCTTCACAGCCACAGCGGGCCAGGAGGGACCAGCCCTTGCAGGGAACATCTACAGGACTCAAGATACTTAGGGAAGGAGGGGGAATTCTTGCCAACTGCTGTGATTGCAAGCGTGTGAGATTAGTCCAAGGCCTGACAGAAACTCCTGCAAAGCAGCTGCACAGCCCCATGCCCTTCAGTAGGGTGTTTTCTTGATCAGGTTTGGGTTTTTTGTGAAACTAAAAGGAAATAACTGTATTAAAAATGACATGTCTTTTCCCTTCATTTTAGGAAAACACAGAATAAAATTCAAATCTGTTTTGTGGAGAGAAAAAAATAAAAGCATTTTAAGCCAGAATATATATTTTTGTACAATTTCTGGTGGAGAAGAACTCCTAGTATTAATTAATGAGCCAAAACTAGAACTCTCACTGAAACAAGTGAGACCTCTGTCATTTACTTCAGGCTGAGCAGGTTTTCATACACGTCATAAACAATTACAGTAATTTTCTTTCACCATCTAAACAGTGGCAGTGCTGTGCAACCCACGTGGCAAGGTTCTTGTTTTCTCTGAACAAAGTGGATCTTGCTTCTTTTATTGGTAGATACAGCTGGGCAGAAGGTGTGTTGCATAGTTTGGTGTCTGTGGAACCAGAAAAAAACACTGGATTTCGGTGCTGCAGAAAAATATTCAGTGTTGGGGTTTTTTTCCTCTCCTGGAGGTAAAATTGTTCTGGCTGTCGAGGGGGGAGAGTTGGTGTTGGTGTTGCTTCTGAAAGTTATTTCTTGACATTCACATTTCACAAATAACAGGAAGGATACTGTGGTTAACATGTGGTTGCAATTCTGGAAAGTGGCAATACAAATTACAATCTGTGATTCTATATTTTATTGTCTCACCAATATCCACGTTGGATCTGCACAGAATGGAAGTAAAAATACTGTAGGAAACTTTAAAAACATTTTATAACTATCAGTGTAAATTCACCTTGACCTTAGGAATGTCAAACTATGACCCTGGTGAAAGCATCACAATGATGAAAATCCTAGTACAATTTATTTACTAATTCTCTTGATGATCAAGGTATCAGATTACATATATTTCATCCATTATGGCTTGTGAAGAGGAATGGAATTGTGCAGAAAACTTTTATTACCACTAAAATTGTGACTCTGACTTGCAACTACATCATTTTATGTAGTATTCAATATTTTGATGTGTAGAATTGGATTTCTGAACTTGTAGTCCACTCTTGAAACTGGTATAGGAATTTTGGCACAGAAAAGCAATTCCCACAATCAAACCTTTAGTGCTGCCCTGATATGAAGGTGCCTTCAGTGTGCAGGGTGTTCTTAAGAACCTTTTTTCTATGCAACAGCCAGTAAAACTTGTTTGAAAGAGCCTTGCTAGGCCAGAACATCAGACACTACATTCCAGTCACAGCTCTCCCATCAGCTGCTGCCCTCAATTTATCTCTTTGGTCCCGTGCAACACAGCAATGTTTAAAGCATACAAACAGCTGAGTGGGCTCTCTTTATCTTTGTTTTGAAATCATAAAATCTCTTTAATTTAAGAGGTAGATAATGGTTTTGCTTGAGAGAGTCACATGGCTGAAGCCGTACGAGCCGAGTGGATTTCCGACTGGACATTGGGAAGAAATTCTTCAGAGAAAGCTATTGGAATGGACTGCCCACGGAGGTGGTGGTCACCATCCCTGGAGGTGTTTAAGGAAAGACTGGATGCGGCACTTAGCTCACAGGGTGGTGGTCGGTCACAGGTCGGATTCGATGATCCCGGAGGTCTTTTCCAACCTAACTGATCTGTGTTTCCGTGACTTGCCCGGGCTCACCGAGGGAGAGCACTAGGCGGTACGGCCAGCGCTCCTAGGGGAGCTCACAGGGACAGAGATAACGGGGGCTTGAACCCGAGGGCGAGGCAGAAGCTCCGGGTGTTTGACAGGCAGGCCACCGAGTTCAAACATGACGCAATCTCGGAGACTGCTACACATTTTTTTCTTGCTGTTACAGGCGTTTTTTGTGAATCCTGAGCTCACGCCTCCCTCCTGACAGCCTCTCTCACAGACAGCCCGCATGGGGTGGGGGGGCCGTTCGCGGCCTTCCCGGGAAGGTCTAGCGGGGCCTTCCCCTCCTCACGGAGCCGCCCCTCGCCCGCAGCTCCAGCCCGCGGCGCTGCCCTCGGCCCGCGCCCCCTCCCTCAGCCAGCGGAGCTCCGCCCGCGGCCCCGCTCTGCCTACCTGGAGCCACCTCTATGGTGAGGGGCGGAGCCGGGCGGCGGGGGCGGCGCGGCGGGACGGGCGCCCGGGCCGGCGGCTGCAGCGACTCCCCTTTGTGTCTGGAGCCGCCCGTGCTGTTGGGGCGGGCGGGCGAGAGGGGGCGCGGGCGGCGGAGCTCCGGCCCTCGCTCGGCTCCCGCCCGCAGCCGGCGGCGGGCAGGGGAAGGAGGCGGAGCGGCCCCTCGCCGGCGAGCCCGGCGCGGGGGGAGGAAGGCGCTGGCAGCGCGGAGAGGCTGAGCGGAGAGCGGCGTGAGGAGGCCGGGCTAGGCTGCCCAGCGCTGTGGAAACTCGGGGCGGGAGGCGGAGGAGGGGAAGGGCCTTCGCCCGCGGAGAGCAGCCGGGCGCGCTCGCAGCTGGAGCCGCCGAGGAGGGGCCTCGCCGCCCCGGGCCCCACCTTTGTCGGGGTGGCCGGGGGTGGCGTCGGTGCTGCGGCGGGGGCCGGGGCAGCGCGGAGGAGCCCGCCCGGCGCGGGAGGCAGATGGGCCGGGATGCAGCCGCAGCCCTCGCCGTGAGAAGAGGGGGCCTCGCCGCCGCCTTCCCCGGAGCGTGAGGCAGAGGAGGGGCGGCCAGAGGACAGAGACCTTTGCCGGGATGGGACGCGCCGCCGCCGTGAGCCCGTAGCTCGCTCTCCGCGCCCCGGCCAGCCCGCAGGGCCCGCGCTGACTGACACCGCTGTGGGCGCGTCTGGATATGTTCCCTTCCCAACCGGGCGCTTTCTTCGATGTCGTGAAGCTGCGTGGGAAATAGCCCGGTTCCCAGCGGGGTCGGGAGCGTGCCGCCGTCCTCCCCGGCGGGGGAGATGCCGCGGGGCTGGGAGGCAGAGCCAGGCGCTTCCCCCGTGTCCGCTGAGCGCTGCCGGCTCCCGAGGCATGAAGGCGGGCGGCTGTAATGGAGTAAGAGCGAAGACGGCTCCTCTCATCTGCCATTTGCCCTTCCAGACGGGATTGTAAACCGAGAGAGTTAAGGAAGGCTGTGCGAAAGCAGAAGGAATTTCCTCTCTTCGGGGTTTGGCTTTTTTTTTTTTTTTCCCCCCATTTTTTTTCTCCTGCCGGCTCGAACCGTGGCTTGCCCAGGTATGCCTGCCTCACTGCAGCACCTTGTGCTGGTGCTCCTGCTCTCCAGTGCCACCCTGCTGCTCGGCACTGCGGCTGGTGAGTAGCCACCGGGTGCGAGGAACTGGCCATTTTGGCAGCGGGAAGGGGGTGGGGTCCGCTGGTATTTGGGCACATCTGTGCCTCCTTACAAAGTGCTGTGCATCTATTTCAGCGGCGAAGCCTGATAAAAGTTTTGAAATCCTGATATGTTAAGTGTCTCGGGGAATAAAATCTGCTTTATTGTGTAAATGAGCTCGACCTGCACACTCAGTAAGAATGCTTTGCTTAGATCTGCATCTCTTGTCTAATAACTTACTTCAGTTTTGGAAATATATATAATCTTTTTGTTTTGCATACCTCGCCCTTTGTAAGGTAATGCAGGAATTTTTAATATATATTTTAATCGTCAGCAGAGCTGTGCCTGTTTCGCTGTGGGATCTTCGGGCACAGCCATTTTTAATTTTATCAGCATCGGTGCTTCTCGAGGCCTTACACATGTGCTGTAGTTTTGTAACAGAATTACTGTAATGTGTATTTTTTTCCCCCCTGGAGAGATCTGAAGCAAATATGGAGCTATTTCTTTTGTCACTTGTGATTATAGAACACAAAATAACACTATTAAGAAATGCTGAAAGGTCTTGAAGGGTACTCATTTTTTATAACAAGAAGTTGGAAGCAGAAATGCTAAGAGCATCCTTAGTCATATATTTGGACACTGTAGTACTATTTTTAATTGCCTTTGGAAGCTCAGTGTTAGATATGCAGGGTGTTGGAAAAGAGATGTGTGTTGGTCTGGCAACCTTTGCTTTTCTGTCACGGTGACAGATGAACATGTTGGAGCCTTCGAGTGTAACCCAGCTTTGTTAGGCAGCAATACCAATTGTTCTTGCAGTATGCATTTTCCAGCACTTTTGGAAGACTCCTACGACTTTTCTGTCGTTTTACTGATCAGGATCCAATCTGCAGTGCTTGCTTTTCTTTGTGATATTTTGTGATCTTCTGGATGTAGTTCATAAGTAAATCTTCAGACGAAAATTGCTGAATCTTGCTAAGATGACCCAACAAGCTGATGGTGGTTTCCATGTTATATTTCAGTGAGGTCTTAAAATTAATTTGTTAAAGTTGAAGATACTTGGTGCCATTATTAGGAAAATCCTGTAAATGACGTATGTTTAGGAAATTTCTACATCTATAGTCCCTGATTTTCTTGCTTGTGCTTACTAAGAGGTCTCTTTCAGGAAGATTCATAAATGAAAAGCTTGATGTTCCCTCTATCATCCTGACCTTTGACTGCCATTATTTTAGATGGATGTCTGCAGCGTCTCTCTGTGGTCGTTTCTGAGGAGTGTTTTTGGTTTATTCCCCTCTTTTTTTTTCCTGGGAGAAGGGACTTCTGAAGGTCAAAAATCTTGGTATTAAAGCACATATGAATCAAGAATGCTCAGCATCTCAACTTTTCTTTCAAATGTATTTTTAAAAAAAGTGTAGGCTTTTTTTTGCCTTTGTGAAAACTTCGGTGAGTTGGTAATTTCTGTGCCCTGATGAAGAAGGGTTACTGAAGGAGCCAGTACAGATTTGTACCAGGCCAAGGGCTGGGCAGGTGCTGTAAGAACCCATTTGCACGGTTTACCCAATTCACTTCAATTCTGACCTGGCAACAGCATTCCCAGTATTTTAGTTCTGCCTTGTTAAAAGGGTATTAACGATGCCCGCTTGGTCGGTTGGTTTGTGAATAGGAACCTATTTTCCCATTGTGATTTATTTCTTAATTGTGAAATTTTAACAATTCACATTTTAAAAAAACTTGGTCATAATCCTCTGTAAAAGTAATTACATGGATGATTTGAGCTTTAGTTAAGGAAGCTAATGGCTGATTTTAAGTTTACACTGCATTTCAGAAAAAAAATGTCTATACATGGGGAAGCTACACTAATGTGTAATTCTGCCCTTTTATGTTCATGAAAGAGCCAACACTCTTTCTTCTCTTCCCCTCCCCCAAAGTATGAACTGTATGCTCCCATCAGGGTGAAAATGCTGCCTTTGTAGCTTTGAAACTCCTATTAATTCTTTCTTCTGATTAGTGAACAGATACTATATCTCAGCAGTGTATAGAATTGAGTGCCTATAAATGCAAAATCATGACATCAGGGGAAAGTATTTTGATAACAGGTTTTTAAGTTTCTGTCTGGAGGAGAATATCTGGACCTCTCTGGAGAGAGCTCCACAAAGACCTGGCTTAGTATGGACAGGAAAGGGAAGATAAAACAATGAATAAAGGAGATGACACAAAAAATCTTACCGTGGGGTTGTGGATGATAGTTCCACTCATAATCTGGAATATGAATGAAGCAAGAGGGTGGTTCTTCCTTCCCCTTTCTAACTGAAGGTATAATAAAGAACTAGCTCTAGATGCAGAAATATGTGCTGATTATTAGGAGGAAAAATATTACTGGCTTTCTCCATAAAATACAGATCTTAACAGTTATCTGATAAGTCTGCATTTAAATAATGCATTAGTCTTTGTAAAGAGAAGTGCTTTAGTGAGGACATTTTACTGACAGCAGTCTTGGGCAGAGGTTTAAAAAGCAGTATTGGGCAAAAATGGTTTGCAACACTTTGCTCTTTATTTTTCAAGTCATTTGAAATACGTATTTCTAAATCTTTTGTTTAGAACTGTGAGACATATATAAATATGTCTTTATATTGTAGAGGATTCTGGTGGGTTAGTCATGAGGGTTTGTGCCTGAAGAGGTGGTTGGTGAACCTTTGAGCTGTTCCCCAGTATTGCAAAATAATTTTGTTTGGGTGTTCGTATGGACCAGATATTAAAGATACAATCTTTCCTCATTTCACTTGCTTACGTTCTGTGATATGCAATACTGAACCACTTTTCCTTCTGCATACATGTCCAGGGTAGACAGCATTCCATTGTCTAATGTGTATATTATTTGCAGAAAATATAAGGTGAAAATTAAAGCAAACAGAATATCCTTTTATCTTTGGGAGTATTTGCATAATTCTGTATCTGTGCGGTTCAACAGGGCTGCAAAAATTAAAGCGTGAAAGGAATTGGATAGAGATTGAATTTTTTTTTAATGATAATTTTAATTATTAATTAAAATGAGTGAGCTGAAGCATCTTTATCTAATTCTGTCTTGCTCGTTTAAGTTACTTTAGTATCTCAACATAATTTGTCTGAAATGTGAATTGGCTGAAATGAGGAATAATCTCCTTTGGATATTCAACTTAGTTCTTCTAATTCAGTGTGTCAAATTAGTAACTGACCCTGTGTATCTTGCATATTAAACAATGGGTTTTTTTAAACTTACCTGCACCCTGATTTCTGCTTTTTAAAAGAGCTACTCCCATCGTTTATGGTTTTTTTCAAATGTAACCTAAAAATTCTGTTTATTTTTCTGTTTGTGTTGGGAGCCCTCTCAGCAGTCTTAGCCTGGGAAATGGGAGCCAGGCTGCTGGCTTGAGGTGCGCACTGGTGCCTGGAGGATCGCCACAGCACGAGTGCAGCCTGGACGCCAGGCTGGGCCTGCACGGCCGTGTGCTCGTGTGAAGAGACTGTGGAGCTGTGCAGGCCCAGGGTTCTGCACAGAGCCCTTCACCCTGCTGGCAAGAGCCTTTTTTCCATTAGGTATGAGCCTCTGTGGTATTTTAACTCAGGTGCTTCCAGTTCCCAAGCAAACTTCAGTACTGGGATACTGCACTGTGCAGTGTCGGCACAGCCTGTGAGGAGATGGAAGCTGTGCTCACCTGGTGGCCAGGGAACCCAAATATCAAGCCCTGTGACATTACACAGATACCTTGCTCCAGTGTGAATGGTTTCACCCTCAAAGGAACCATGTGTAAAAAGTTCAATTGTCTCAATTGCCTCAAAAGGCTCAATTGCCTCTCCTCTGATGAAGGCAGGCCAACCTCATCGCTTCACCCTGGACAAAGAGGGAAGCGTAACTGTATTTCTTGAAATTATTCTTACAGTGAAGTTTGTTGAAGTGGTTATTTTGATGGCATCTCCCTAGCACTTATTACAAATATCTGTAAAAAAAATATTTGTTGACTTCTATGTTGTTGCTCCCCTTCCTTTTTATATTTCATTAAGTATTTATCAGTAGTTTGTATAGTCAGTGGCATTGTTTCCTTGGTAGATACCATTTTTCTCTGCCTTTCTCACTGGAGAGACAAGAAAGTTATATTGGGTTCTTCAGAAATGTTTTATTCCTAACAACAGAGTGCATGGTACTGGAGTTGCATTGTGTTTGGACTCAGTCTGGCTGTGCTATGAATATGTGCTGTCATTTTCTGGGCAGAATACAACTTTATAGCCAGGGCTGCGAGCTGAGTGTAAAGTTTCATTTGGAACAAAATGTTTATGCCCTGAATAAAACAGGCTGGGTGATGATTTAGGTTGGGTAGGACTGGAATCTGTGCATAGCTTACAGGCAGTAACTATTAACTTTATTGAGATTGTAGACTTAGTGGAGCTACTCACTGCTTGATTTTGAATTTAAGAGTAAGTGAAATACAGGAACTGTTCCCCAAAAGACGTAACATTTCAGTATGCAAACTGATTTTCTGCAGTGTGGATTTTATGGTGTTTTGTTTTGGGTTTTTTTGTGGCGATTTTTTGGTTGATTGTTTTTTACTTGTTTGTGATTTTTGGTGGTGTGGTGTTTTTTGGGTATTTTTCCATCATTTTTTTTTCTGAAGCATAAGTTCACAGAAGCATAAGGCTGGAAATTGTTTCTCTGTTTCCTCCCTGGCCTGGTTGTGTAAGTACAGATAATAATGTCTGTCTAACATCTCTAAAATCTCCAGTGAAGAGGGATTTCACAGCCTGTCTAGGTAGTCTGGCCTGTTACAGTGCTTAATTATCATGTTTTCCATAATGCAACAGTAGTAGATTTTTTTTTTTTTTTTTTGCCTCTTTTATAATGCAAGATTGTTTAAGATACACTATAACTAATATGTGGCAATCCACCTGAAAATGTAGGGTAGTGTACATACACAGGCAATTGCCAGGGAATACCAGTTTAGATAAGTTCCTG